ATTTTTTTATTGCATACTGCTACTATTGTCGTAGTATGACTACTACTACTACTACTACTACTACTACTACTATTGCTAGTGTGATTATTAGTACGACCAGCACCACTACTACCGCGACTATTACTACTATACTACTACTACTACTACTACTACTACTACAGTTGTTGTTACTGTTACTATTACTACTTCTGCTATAATTCGTACAGAGCGCTCTGTAGTACTACTACGATTAGTATTACTACTTCTACGGCCACCACTTCTACTACTACTACTACTACTACTACTACTACTACTACTACTACTTCGACTACTACTACTACTACTACTACTACTACTACTACTACGACTGCTATTACGACTATTACTACTTCTATTACTACTACTACTGCTGCTACTACTACTACTACTACTACTACGACTACCACTACTACTACTACTACTACTACTGCTACTACTACTATTATTACTACTACGACTACTACTGCGACTACTTAGCACGACCGCGGCGACCACGACGACGGCTACGTTTGGTACTTCTACTACTACGACTACTGCAACACAGACTACTACGACTAGTGCTTCACTACTACTACTACTCCTACTACTACTTCTACTACTACTACTACTACTACTACGACTCCTACTTCTACTACTACTCCTACTACTACTACTACTACTGCTATGTTTATTACTACTACTACTACTACTACTACGACTACTACTACTACTACTACTACTACTACTACTACTACTACTACTGCCACTATTACTCATACTACGACCGTTGTAACAACAATTACTACGACTACTACTGCTACTACAACTACGACTATCTCTACATCAGCAACACCCACTGTTACTGCAACTATTACTGCTACAGCAACTACTACTACTGCTACTGCTTCTGTTGCTGCTTGTGCTACTACTGCTAGTGCTAGTGCTACTAGGAGTACTACCGCTAGTACTACCACGACCTCTGCCACTCTACCGCGACTATTACTGCTTCAGCTACTGATGCCACCACCCTTTTCACGCAACTACTTCTTGCGCGGCAGACCTTCGCCCACAGCTGTTGCAACTATCACTATCCTCCTCCACTTCTGTCTTTGCCGCTTCGTGGCACGCTGGCTTCCCAGCCCGTTCGGCGCACTCGGTGGCACGCGGCTGGAATGGTATGCAGTTCGTTGGTGATGTGTGCTTCGAGGGAGCCCTGATGTGGATGCAGGCGCACCCAGCGTCAGCCTTACAGCCCTACAGGTGTTCTGGCAGGCGTCCTGGACGTCGGACCATTGGACAAGGCCTTCGGAGAAGGTGCGAAACCCGAGTCACGCTCGCGGGGCGCCCGATCATTTCGTCTGCACTGCTCGCGCCACGCCGCAGACAACGACGACAATGACGTCATCGCAATCGGCATCGTCATCGCCATGGTCCATGGTCATCGTTTATTTCTTTCTGCCAGCAAGGTCGCGATGGAGTCCCTGGGCGCGCAGGTCGCGGCTGTCGAGGAGGGGCCTCTGCTTTCCTCGCCCCCCCGCGGGCCTGGGCTGCCCTTTGGCGAGAATCGGGGGCACCAGAGCTGGCCAGCCCCGCGCCGCGCCCACGGTTTTCGCACGGCAGGCCGCGAGGTTGTAAAAGCCAGGGGCAGTAAAAACCTTCATGTGTGTTCGTCAACCTCTTTGTTGATTCAAGTTTGTTTGCAGTGTATATATATATATATGTTGTTGTCCAGCAATGTTTTTCTCTCAACCTCGGCTTTTTCTCAATGTCGGTGTGTTGTCAACATCGTTTTTATTTGACCCCGTGTTTTTCAACCACGTCCCGTGCCGACGCGGCGGCAACCCCAGCGCGAGTTTTCAAATTTGAGCGCCGCCAGCGGCCCAGAGCCCGCCGACATCGTCGAGGGCTGAACGACCCACGTGGTTTCAGAAGCCCAGGCCGGCCCCCTCAGGATCTCTCGTGGACAAGGAGTAGCAGGAGGCGAGGGAGGATAATTGCAGGCAGAGAGGCTGACACCAATACCAATATCGGCGCTGTGCCTCCACCGAGGGAAGAAGATCCCGATCTCGGTGATGGTGGCAACATTCTGGCTTCCAAGGTGACCGAAATATTGCCACCAACACCGAAATCTAGGATCATCTTCCCAATGTGGAGGCAACCCCCTGTGTTGGTGTTGGTGCCCATTTCTAGGCCTCCAAGATATGAAGTGCCAGCCTGACTTGGCGTGCCCAGTCAGCTGCCTGGCCTGGGCCCAGGGCGGGCTTGGCCAGCCTCCGCGCCCGGGCGGCTGGCATCTCCCTTCCCTGCCCCGTCCTCCCTCGTCCTCCTCCTCCTCCTCCTCCTCGTCCTTCTCCTCCTCCTCCTCTTCCTCCTCCTCCCCCTCCTCCTCCTCCTCCTCCTCCTCCTCCTCCTCCTCCTCCTCCTCCTCCTCTCCTTGCCCTTATCGCCCTCCTCCCCGCCTGCCCCTTCGTTCCTCCTGCTTGGACGGCCCTGCGTCTCCAGAGTCTCCCTGCGGCTTGTGATCGCCGACCGTTCAAGGCCCTGTCGTCTCTTCGCGCCAGATATCAGCCGGACTCAGCCCAGCGCCCCACAGCTTATATCATAGCGAGCCGGAATCTCTGAGAATCTGACGTTGAGCATCGCGTTGCCTTCGAGCACCCGTGGGGCAGCCGCCCACTCGGGCCCTATGTGTAGTTGCCGTCCCCGGGCCAGGCAAGCACGAGCCTTCCCCAGGGAGGGGTCGGGCCAGGAGCCGCCGTCAGTGCCTGACAGCATCCTGGGCACTCTGCAGCGGGGGCACCCCCTCGAGACAGCGAGGGCTGGTGCGCCATGCGGTTCTGTGTGATGCGCGACGGCGGGCGGCATTCAGCGTCTGGAATCGAGGCGCGGGGTTGAAGCCGCCTGGGCGCCGAGGTGGCTCAGCCCTTGTTCTGGCCAGCAGATGAGCGGTGAGAAAGGGGCCCCTTCGTCGCCACGGCTGGACCCGCTTCGAACAACTTGTCAGCTTCGACCCTGGGAGGGGTCTGAGGACCGATGTTGAGCGAATTTGCCCACCACGCGCAACGGCGGGCGGTAGGCGTCTGGGGCCGAGGAGCTGGAGCCCGTTCGGAAAACCTCCCGGCGATCACGGGCGTGACCGCCCCCCCTCCCTCACGTCACGCCCCCCCCCCCCCCCCCCCCTCCCTCACGCCCCGCCCCCCCCCCCCCCCTCCCCCCTCACGCCCCACCCCCCTCCCTCACGGTCCGCCAACCTACCGCCCCCGCCCCCCCCCCCCTCCCTCACGTCACGGCGGTGTCCGGTGGCGACCGCGGACGTCCTGTGGCGCTCGCAGGCTATTTGGTGTCAGAGGCACGCTGTGGTACTCGCGAGGGGAAGCGGTGGCGTGCGTGCCGCGTGGTGCTCTCAGGGACGCAGTGTTGTTCTGCTTTTGAGAGGCATTGGTGCGTCGGTCGTAGCGCGGCGCTCGTAGCTGCCAGCGCTGTGGTGTATACAGGCACTGGAGCTCCTCCCGGAACGGAACGATTGGAGTTTTTGTGTATCCGGTACCGATTCGTGGACTTTTTAGCTTCCGGGCGCCCTGGGCCCCTCCTGGGGCCTTCCTGGGGCCTGTAACGGAACAATTGGTAGTAGTAGTAGTAGTAGTAGTAGTAGTAGTAGTAGTAGTAGTAGTAGTAGTAGTAGTAGTAGTAGTAGTAGTAGTAGTGGTAGTAGTAGTAGTAGTAGTAGTAGTAGTAGTGGTAGTCGTAGTAGTCGTAGTAGTCGTAGTAGTAGTAGTAGTAGTAGTAGTAGTAGTAGCAGCAGTAGTAGTAGTAGTAGTAGTAGTAGTAGTAGTTGTGTAGTCGTAGTCGTAGTAGTCGTAGTCGTAGTCGTAGTCGTAGTCGTAGTCGTAGTCGTAGTCGTAGTAGTAGTAGCAGTAGTAGTAGTAGTAGTAGTAGTAGTAGTAGTAGTAGTAGTAGTAGTAGTAGTAGTAGTACGTTGCGGCACCCCAGGCGCACTTCCGCCGTGACGTGATCGGCGGGGCGTCCCCCCCCCCATCACGCCCGTGACCGGCCGAATAAACGAATGGGCTCCTGGAGGGCGCGGGGGTGGGAAGTGCCTGCAGTCGAGGGCGCGGCCCTGCCTGCGGCCTCGCGGGCCAGACTCCTCGGCCGCGATCCCACGGATGTGGGGCGGCCTGTGATCGACACCAGTTGTATGGGCGCACCCTCCTCCTCCTCCTCCTCCTCCTCCTCCTCCTCCTCCTCCTTTGGTGGCATTTTCCACGGACCAGGCTGTGCCACGAAAATATATGCACTGACATCCTCTAGTGGATTGCGGGGGGGTCAGGGGAGGGTGGCGGCGTATGGATCATCACTGGGAGCCAGCGACTACACCGCCGCCCTCCCTAAAGGTACCTGCTAAATCAGTCGGAGGGTGTCTGTGTAGATGTCGCCGCGCCGTTTGCTCCGACGCGCGGCCTTGCCCCTTGGGGAGGGCGCCTCGACCACCAGGGCGAACGCCGCTGCGGACGCAGTGGGTTCACTGTGGGTGGGCCGCGGTGCATGCGTCGTCTACTTGGACGCGCGGCGCAGGGCTGGCCATATGGGTCTGCCGTGATGTTGGCGTCGTCCACTTGGGCGCGTCGAAGCCAAACGGCGCGGCGATATATATATATATATATATATATATATACACACACACATACAAGACTGCATTGGCGCTGCGCGCCATGCACCTTGGTCCTTTGGAATTCGCACGCTAGCGGAGTGCGAGCGTGCGTACATGCGCACACACATGCGTCTATGAATGCATAGTACATATGTACACATATATATACACACACACGTTTGTATGGAAATGTACATGTATATGCAAATGGTCACTGTAACTATGTGTGCGCATACACATGCGTATATCAGGCGGTAGTGGCCTGACCAGTTGCTCATATCATCGCGCCACTAAAGGGCGCGAGGGTCTCAGGCAAACGTGGCCAGACTACCATGGGACAGTGCGTCGCCGAGGTCAGTGTTGCGAGGGCGCCCCGGGTGAAAATGGCCTGAACACCTCCGCTCAGGGGAGGGCATATCCGGAGTCAGCCGCGCGAGGAAGTTTCAAGCGAGGAGTGGTCTGAACACCTGTGCTCAGGGCATCCTTGAACTTAGAGTTGCGAGAAGTCGCACGCGAAAGTGGCCGAACCACCATGGTGCAAGGCACCTCCGAAGAAAGACTTGCGAGAGTGTCTCAGGCGACAGTGGCTGGAACACCTCAACTGAGAGTGTCTCGGGCCCCAGAGCTGCGATGATGTCTCAAGCGAAAACGGCGGGACCGATGCGAAGCAAGGCGCTTCTGAGGTCGGAGTTGCGAGCATATCTCTGGCGAAACGGATTAGACTACTTTCCGTTATCTCCTCTTCCTCCTTCCCCTTTTCTTTTCTTTTCTTTTCTTTTCTTTTCCTCCTCTTCCTCATCCTCCTCCTCCTCCCCCTCCTCCTCCTCCTCCTCCTCCTCCTCCTCCTCTTGTTCCTCCTCCTCCTCTTCCTCTCCCCCCTCTCCGCTTCTTTTTTGTCCATTCTCCCCATTCCTGGCGGCGCGGCGCGGTGCCGCTCGGCCTCTCTGCGAGTCAAGCGGCAAAGGGTGAGAGAACCCCCCCGAATTAGGAACGGTTTTTCCCAGGCCGCCAAGGGGGCCCGAAGGTGGTGCAAGAAACGGTGCAGGTTTTTAAATCCCCCATGGGTTCCTCGGATTCGGCCTGCCCTCTCGGTAAGGTAGGCAAGGGCGCCGCGTCCAGGTGCTCAATCCCCCGTATCCCCCTCCCCTCGTCTTCGTTTCCTCTTCCATGTCCCCCTCCTCCTCGCCCTCGCCCCCCTTTTTCCCCCTCATCCTCCTCCTCCCTCCCCCCTCCTTCTCCTCCCTTGATGCCCCCGCGTGGTTTTCGGGCCATGAGTCGGGCCTCTGGGGGCTGTTCGCGACGTTTCCGGCGCCCCCGAAACTCTTCCGGCGAGTCGCAGATACTGAAGGAAATCCCCAGGCCGGAAAACCACCCAAAACAAACAATCCGAAAACCTTGATCTTCCATTCTCGGTTCCTCTTTCTCGGAGGAGGAGGGACGAGGGGTGAAGGACGAGGGGAGAGACAATGAAGATTAGTACGGCGACGACGACGACGACGACGACAACGACGACGGTGGCTTTCCAGGCGGCGCTTCCGCCGGATGGAGGCCCGCCAAGGCAGCCGGCGCGCGGGTCGGGGACCTGGCCGATTCGGAGAGCGGGTGGTGGCGGTGGCCCTCTGGGAGGCAGTTTTGAAGCCTCTTGGGGGTGTTTTGGGGTTCTTGGGATCTTTTTGGGGCCTCTTGGGGGCCTCTTGGGGGCTCCTTGGGGCCTCTTGGGAGCCTCTTGGGGCCTCATGGGGCTCTCTCCGGGCCTCTTGGGGCCCTTTCGCGGCGGAAAATTAAGTTTTTGAATTTTTGGGTGCCCTCTTGGGTCTCTCTTGGGGCCGTCGTGGTGCTCTCTTGGGCCGTCTTGGGCGCCTCTTGGGCGGTCTCGGAGCCCTCCTGGACCGTGTTGGGGCCTTCTTGGGGGCCTCTTGGGCAGTACTGGGGCGATCTAGGGAGCCTGTTGGGCCATTGTGGAGCGTCGGGAAGCGGGAAAAGCGAGAAGGCCAAAAACATCGAAAGACACACAGGAAAATCAACAATTGTAGCCTCTCGGGGCTCTCTTGGGAGGCCTCTTGGGGGTCTTTGGGGGCGTCTTGGACGCGTCTTGGGCAGTCTTGGGCCCAGATTGGCCGTCTTGGGCCGATCTTTGGGTGTCTCGGGGCCCTCTTTGGCCGTCGTGTTTTTTTTTTCCGCGCCGCATTCGCAGGACAGACACGGAGCACTCTGCAGGAGCGCCCCAAAGGCTCGGGGAGGCCGAAATTCGTTGGGGAGGGGGGGGGGGCACCGGGTGCCGCTTTTCCGGGGGTCCCCGGCCCTGTAAATATATAATAGGATATATATATATATCATATATATATATATATATATATATATATTCGCTGAGGAAATCGACCGGGAACCCGGGAGCCCGGGAATCCAGAACCTACCGAAATCGACCCAGAACCAATAACCGGGAACCCAGGAACCAGGAACCGGGAACCCGGGAACCCAGCCTGCTACCAACATCGGCGGGAAACTTTCGCCAAATCTTCAAATTTCCATTAGGACCCCTTCAGTGCAAACACTAATTGGGGAACGTACACACGTACAAGATTGCATTGACGCTTCGCGCCATGCACCTTGGTCGTTGACATTTGCCATGCAGGCCAGGCGGAAAGGCAGGAAGGTCAAACCGACACTTTATCGATAAATCTTTGTTGCCTTTTTCCGGCATCGCCGTTATCGTAATTTTATTCGTTCTACTTCCCTCTGTTTCTTTTTCTTCATTCTCGCCCTACCCTGTCTATTCTCCCCATTCTCCTCAGCTCTTTTTTGCGGATGCTCCTCCGTGGAGAGCCTCTGGAGGCCTCTTTCAAGCTTTCTTAAGGCTTTCTGGAGGCCTCCTGGGCGTCTTCTGGGGGCATTTGGGGGCTTCTTCGGGGAAGGTGTCTTGGGGCCAGCTTGGGCCGTCGTGGAGCTCTCTTAGGTCATCTTGGAACCCTATTGTGCCGTCTTGGGGCTCTCTTGGACTGCCTGGAAGCCCTTTCGGATGGTTGTGGGACGATTTTCGAGCCTGCGAGGCGGCTTCGGACGCCCAGAAGACCGCTGTCTTGGAGCGTCCGGAAGCCGAAAAGAGAATAACCCCCTATATTCGCCAACAACCAACAGAAAATCAATGAATTTTGCCTCTTGGGGCCTTCTTCTCTTGTGACGTTTTGGAACGATCGTTGAGGGTATGACGGTTTCTTTGGGGTCGTCGTGGACCGTTTTGGGTCTTTTTGGGGTCGTTTCGGGAGCGCGCCAGAACGCGTGGAGCCCTCTGGGCCATCTTCGGGCGTTCGTGGGGTTCCCCCGGGTCGTCTGGAGGGTTGCCCGAGAGGCCCGGGGTGGGCCAAATTCGTTAGGTGTGTGGTGGGGCGTTTTTTGGGGTCCCTGGACCTATAGAAATAGATGAGTAGGAATATGTACATATAGTGTGTGTATGTATGATGATACATACATGTTTGTGTGCATGTCTGTATGCAAATACATATGTAAAGACATGCATGGATGTATGTATTGTATGCACGCATGCATGTATGCATGTATGTATGCATGTATGTATGTATGCATGCATGCATGTAGGGCGGCGGTGATATCCATGGCCAATCCACGATCGAAGTTCCACCGGCTTCGAGACCCTGGATTCATTCTCCATTGGTACTTTGTCCAATGCCCCCGCCGTATCTCGGGAGGGAATCAACGCACAGGCGCATGTAACCGTCAGGTCCCAGGAACATCTGGAGACATATCTATATCTACATATATATTTACATATATATATATATATATATATATATATATATACATCTGGGCAGTGGGCAGGGGGGGCCGGGAAGGCGAGCATGCAGAAAGTGTGGGTGAATTCACGGTGAAGTTGGGGAATTCCTGGGACCTGTGTCCACTTGTTGGCGTGTCCCTGGGCCCCGTCAGGACGGGGAGGAGCGGCCGTGGCCCTGGCCTCTGGGCGCGCGGGTGCCGCGTCGCTGCCAGCCCGCCCGCGGCGCCCCGCCAGCACCTGCCCCTGCGCAGCCAGGCGACCAACAGCGCCCTGCAGGGCCTGGTCGGCACGAAGGCCGGGGCGGAGGAGGCTACGCGGGACCTCCCTCCGCCTCCTCGCCCTCCTCGCCCTCCTCGCCCTCCTCGCCCTCCTCCTCCTCCTCCTCCTCCTCCTCCGCCTCCTCCTCCTCTTCCTCCACGTTTTCATCACCTTCTCCCTCCATATCCTCAGCATCATCCTCCCCCCATCTGCGTCCTCGCTTTTCTCCTACCGCTCCTTCTCTTCCCCCCTCCCTTCTCGTCAGGTGCGCACGTACGGCAGGTTGACACTGAGCCGACGCGACGGCGAACCGAGCGCAGGCGTTCAAGCTGGAACGCCGCCGCCAGACGCCCCGAATGGGCTAACGATCTGCGCTGTCGGGAAGCCGCGATCGTTCTGGGTCCATCGATCCCGCGTGGGGTCCGAAACCAATGCCCGGGGTAACGGGGGTCGGCGGAAGTGTTCAAAGGTGTCGCTGACCGGGGTGGTTTCTGATGGGCCTGTTGTCCACCACTACCACCATAAGTTGGAGGGGGGAGGGAGGTGGAGGATGAGGAGGAGGACGAAGAGGAGGAGGAGGAGGAGGAGGAGGAGGAGGAGGAGGAGAACATCCTCCCCCTCCTACTTATGTTGTTGGTGGTGGTGGTGGAAAGCAAGCCCACCAGTTTTCTCCAGCTGCGCCTCGTCGCGGGCGTTCTGGGGATGCTGGCATCGTCACAGGTGCCCGCTCGAGGCCCGAGGTGCTTCCGGGAAGCCGAAGCCAGGACGGGTTAATGGGGGTCAGCGCTAACATGGGTCAACCATTTCCTTCTGATCCCCTCTGGTTGGAGACGATCCCCTCGCAGTACAGACTCGTCGTCTTGCTTTCATCGTTTGGCTTCGTGGTAGCGTGCTAGACGCATCAGCATGTTCTTCTTGCCATGGTATGAGAAACATAGGTGTTGTGGTCGTTGGGGGGCGCTTGCGGACGGGGCAGGTATGAAGCCAGTCCCAAGCATGTGATAGAAGATTGCCGCTCATTCACGAAGCAGAATTTATTGTGATGCAGAATGGCGCATGGCTGCCTTGTGCTCCAGATCTTCTGTTCACTCTCGTACCTGCTCACCTCTTGGCACACGCCCACAGGATGCAATCCGATCACGGCTTGGTGGCCTCTGCTGTTGTATCCGTTGCCAACCACCAATTGTTGGATGATCTATAGTTATTGCACATCAGTTCGTGGGTCAACCCCAGATCCTAAGGTCTAGGTAGTTAGAGTCTTTGCCGCAGTTGCCTTCCCGTCGATGCGACTGTTCGTTGGTATGTAGCATTCGAGAGACAGCATGTGGAATCGCAGGGGGATCCACCCCGCAGGTTGCTTCGCAGAGAGCCGCGATCGCCGCATTCCAGCAAGATATTGTCAAGAAGGCGGATTTGACTGTGACGGCTGCTCTCGAGTTGTCCACGCCTCGGTGCCGCCGTTATACTCGGTCGCCTTGAAATAGCACAGGCCCAAACCGATGTGTACTATCGTAGGCTCTCGCGTTTGACGTTTAGTAAATCTTCGAACACCGAGTGTTTTCTTGTTTTCTGAACCCAATGTTTGATGTCTCGGCTACTTTTGCAATTTTGTGCTCCGTGGAGATCGAGAACGGCCCCTGTCCAAGTTTCTGCGTGCTATCCCCGCTCCCTGTGTTGTGCTATGTGCGCGCTGTGCTATCCTCGCCCCTCCCCCCCATGATCCTCCCTGTCGCACCCCGAGGCCAGTTTTTAGGGCGGGTCGGGCGTTTCGCCTGAGACTTCCCTACCATCTATGACTCTGAAGCTTTAAAAGTGGCAATAGCTTCACATATGGTTTTCAACATATGGCGCTCGCCTTAGCGCCGAGCACATTCGTCTTTTAAATGTGCAGGAGCTTCACGGATTGAGGGCGGGTGGTTTTCAAAATGTGGTTTTCGCCTGAGCGCCGCGCACATTCGTTTCCTCCTCCTCCTCCTCCTCCTCCTCCTCCTAGCCCCTCGTAACACAGGTCAGCAGGATTGGGGGCGATGCCCCCAATCCTGCTGACCTGTGCTATGTTGGTCCCTCCTCCTCCTCCTCCTCCTAGCCCCTCGTAACACAGGTCAGCAGGATTCGGGCCGATGCCCCCAATCCTGCTGACCTGTGCTATGTTGGTCCCTCCTCCTCCTCCTCCTCCTCCTCCTCCTCCTCCGCCTTCTCCTCCCCCTCCTCGCTCTCTCCCTCGCTCCCTCCCTCCCTCCCCCCTCCCCCCCCACATAGCATAGCACACGGCTCGCATAGCACAAATCAGGGGAGCCCCCCTCTCTCGCCGCCGGGGCGGCGCTCTGGGGGAACATGTGGGGGATCTGTTTGTTTGCGTGTATTTGTTTGTGTGTCCCAGTTTCCCTTCACTTGTGGATCCCGGCTCTCCGAACGCCCCCGAGGCGGCGAAGAGCCGACAAACATACAGCCAAGCCGCTGGCACAGAGGCCATTCGGGTGCAGGAGGGGCTCTGGTCTTCGGGCCGTTGCCTAGATCCAGGTCGGGGCTCCTCCTCCTCCTCCTCCTCCTCCTCCTCCTCCTCCTCTTCTCCTCCTCCTCCTCCTCCGCTTCGCACGTCCTGGGGACCCAGCTCGTGGCCGAGGCCCTGTGGCCAGACAGGCCCCTTCGTTCCTTCTGTTCGGTGTTACAGTCGGGGCCCTGAAGAAGGAACCCTTTTCGTTGGGGAGGGGCTCCGCGTTCCTTAAGTGTTCCACAGCTTGCCTCAGGTTTTCCTTATGCTTTTGATAGGAAGTCGAGGTTTAACTTATGGAAAAAAGAGGCCTCGTTCCTTATTTAGGGTTCCTTAGGTCAACGCCCCGACTGTACTCGTGGCAGCACGATGGCTGTGTTCCTCCCCTCATGGGCGAAAAACATAGCCGCGGCCGCGGCCTCGCGGGCTGACCCCCTGGTCCGCGACCCCGCGGATACGGGGCGGTTTTGTCGCGGATGCCCCGCGCAGAACGGATACGTGCGACCGCGTATCCGCGGGGTCACGCCCCGGCATCCAGATCGCGAGGGCGCGGACATGGATACGTTCGCCGCACGTGATCCCCGCCGCCCAAACGGCATGGGCTCTGCTCTCCTTGGGCGTACACTCCTCCCGCTCCTCCTCCTCCTCCTCCTCCTCCTCCTCCTCTGCCTCCTGCTCCGCCTCCGCCTCCTCCTCCTCCTCCTCCTCTTCCTCCTCCTCCTCCTCCTCCTCCTCCTCCTCCTCCTCCTCCCCGTGGGATGTCTGAGGTCTGTGCTGGGCCAGCAGAGCAGCATCGAGCGGATGCAGGAGCAGGCCGCCGAGAAGGCGTGCGCGCGGGCGCGAGGGCGACCCGTGGTCGTCCTCCCTTCGGGTCCATACAGTCGGGGCGCTGAGGGAGGAACCCTTTTCGTTGGGGAGGGGCTCGGTGTTCCTTAAGTGTTTCACAGCTTGCCTCAGGTTTTCCTTCTGTTTTCGACGGGAAGTCGAAGTTCAACTTATGGAAAAAAGGGGCCTCGTGCCTTATTTAGGGTTCCTTAGGTCAACGCCCCGACTGTAGGGGATGGGGGGGGCGCGTAATCCGGGGGCGACAGCGATGGGACTGGCCCTGGACCCGGGGCCAGGAGGAGGAGGAGGAGGAGGAGGAGGAGGAGCAGGAGGAAAGGAGGAGGGAGGAGGGAGGAGGGAGGAGGGAGGAGGGAGGAGGGAGGAGGGAGGAGAGGAGGGAGGGGGAGGAGGGAGGGAGAGGGGGAGGAGGAGGAGGAGGAGGAGGAGGAGGAGGAGGAGGAGGAGAGGAGGAGGAGGAGCGAGGTCGGAGCCGGAATCAGGGTCGAAGCCGAGGCCCGGGACCGAGGCCGATCCCGGCACCGATGATGCCAGGGCCAGGGCCGGAGCCAGAGCCGGCTCGGACTTGTGCCCCGCGGAGGAGGAGGAGGAGGAAGAGGAGGAGGAGGGGAGGAGAGGAGAGGAGGAGGAGGGGAGGAGGAGGAGGAGAGGAGGAGGAGGAGGAGGAGAGAGGAGGAGGAGGAGGAGCTGGCGCCAACGCCGAAGGCTCAGGGGGAGGCGCCACGACCCTCAATCGCCCGTGGATCGCGGACGTGGGCCCCCGAAAGCCACTCAGGACCGTGCGGAGCCGCCGTCGGGGGGCCATCGCCGATTTGTTGGCGACGCATCGCCGATGGGTTGATGTTTACCCCCCTGAGCTGGGTCCACCCAGTCGTTCGGGGGGGTGGCAGGAAGAGGGGAACAAGGCATGTTAGGTGCGCTCGCCGTATCTGGCACTCTACCCCTCGCGGATGTATCTCCTCCGCCGAGTGGGACATCCTAGACGATCTCGAATCTCGATCCCCATGTGATCCCATCGTGTGATGCTCAATAGGAAAGGGGATTTTGAACATTGGAGGCAGGGGACGAGGAGGAGGAGGAGGAGGAAGAGTTGGTGGATCACGTGGAGGATGAGCAAGAGGACGATGATGAGAAAGGTGGAGGAACAATAGCAGGAGCAGGAGGAACATGGGGAAGTACGAGGACCATGGAATGGGTGCGGAGGGGACATGAGGGGGACAGGAATGGCGTGGAAGGAATCGGATTCAGAATGTGGTCCGCGCTGGGGAGAGAGCACTATTGCACCCGACTGGGGCACCCCCCCGATTCTTATATTTGGTCAGCGCTGCAGCTGGAGCACCTAAGGACCAAGAACGGCCCGTTCGAAAAACAAGCCATCGGACAAAAACAAATGGTGAAATCGTGTGAAAAGAGAGAGAGAGAGAGAGAGAGAGAGAGAGCGAAAGCAAACAAACATGAGCACGCGAAAGAGGTGGTAAAATTCTGCCGCGATATCGGGGGAGAGGCAGGCAGCACTTCTTGCGTGCAATTGTTTAGGAACATGGGCGGAAGGGGAGCGAGGCTGAGAGAGGAAGGAGGGTGAAAGAGGAGGGGAAACGAGGGAGGCAGTCGATGGCCTTCGACCGTCTGAGGAAGCTCTCCAGAGGTCTCTGGAGGTTTGAAGGGGCCGGAGGGGAAGGGGGACATTTGGAGGAGAAGGGGGAGGATGGGGGAGGAGTGAGGGGAACAAGGGGAGAGGAGCAGGAGGGAGGGAGGGTAGAGAAATGAGAAGGGGCATGAGGAGGGAGGAGGGCGCATAGAGGGAATAAGGAGGAGAAGCTGCAGAAGGGAGCATGGATCCTGTTGGACGTAGGACGGGGAGGAGTAGACGGAAGGGGGAGGAAAAGGAGGCGCAAACGCAGGCACATACAGGCACATCTCGTCTGGCGTTTCGCGTATCCTCAGAGCTGTCGAGGTCTGCTCCAATCTGAGTTGATCCTGTTTTTGTAGGGAGTTGCGGAACCCGTGGCTCTCCATGTCTTGCCCAGGAGGGAGAAGGTGGAGGGAAGAGGAGGAGGAGGAGGAGGAGGAGGAGGCGGAGACGGAGGAGGAGGAGGAGGAGGAGGAGGAGGGGGAGGAGGAGGAGGAGTTGGAGGAAGGAGGAGGACGAGGAAGAGGAGGACAAGTGCAAACCCAAGACTTATCAACGATGTTCGAACAAACCCTCCCTCCAAGCTCCCTTTTCAGAAGCACCTACACGTTTTCATTCCCATTGAGGGAACTGCCTCGTTGGGAGACAACCGTTTGAAGATCCTGATGCGTGCGAAAACACCATTCTCGGGACTCCCAAGCCACGGATGAACCTGACCCTTGCGTCTTGACGATCCTGAACCGTGCCAGTACACCATTCCTTGGACTTGAGCACCGCAAACCATCATGACTGTTGCAGCCTCACAATCCTGAGCCCTTCCAAGCACCATTTCTGGTACATTGACCATGGGAATGAAGACGAATGTGCGCGGAGCTAAGGCGAGAGCCACATTTTGAAAACCAGCCGCCATCAATCCGCGAAACTCTTGCAATTCCCCAATCAGTGCTTGCACTGAAGGGGTCCTAGCGGAGGTTGAAGGATTTGGCGAAAGTTTCCCGCCGATTTTGGTCGCACGCTGGGTTCCTGGGTTCCCGGTTCCGGGTTCCCGGGTTCCCGGTTCCCGGGCCGATTTCAGTGGGCGAAGAGGTTTTCAGGTTTGCCGGGTTTCTGGTCGATCTTCTTATCGATCGGTCTCAGCATCGTTCTCATTTCCCACTTCCTTATCGATCTCACCATCGATCTCACAATCGGTCTCACAATCGATCTCGCAAGCGATCTCACTAGAGATCGCACGAGCGATCTTGCGATCGATCTTCCTATCGATCTCATTGAACCGATTCCACTCTCGGTCTCACGATCGACCTTACAATCGTCCTCTATCGATTCCACGATCGATCTCATTATCGATCTCACAATCGGTCTCAAGATCCATATGACGATTTTTCGGATCATCCACTGATTGGGTTTTCTCTGGTGCAATCTTTTTAAAACTGAATGCGCGCGGCGCTAAGGCGACAGCCACATGTTGAAAACCAGCCGCCCTCAATCCGCGAATCTCTTGCGTTGTTTCAGACGAGTGTGCGCGGCGCTAAGGCGAGAGCCACATTTTGGAAGCGGTCCGCCCTTCATCTGCCAAGCTGCTGCACATGCTTAAGACGAATGCGCGCGGCGCTATGGCGAGAGCTGCATTTTGAGAGCGACCTGTCCTCAATTCGCGAAATTCTTGCAAGTTTTCGAGACGAATTTGCGCGGCGCTGAGGCGAGATCCAAATGTTGGAAGCGGTCCCTCCCGTTGTGAAACTACTGTCATGTTTTAACTTCCAAAGTTTACGTAAATGTTAGGGAATGTTCCAGCGAAGCGCCTAGCCCGCCCTTTCGACCGGCCTCGTTGTGCGACAGGGAGGAGTTATTGATAAGGAGAAGGAATGGATAAGCAGAAGGAGGAGGAGAAGGAGGAGGAGAAGGAGGAGGCGGAGGACGAGGAGGCGGCGGCGGAGGAGGAAGAGGAGGAGGAAGGAGGAGGAGCAGGAGGATGGACGATGGAGGACAAGGGAGGAGACTCCCCCCCTGCCCCCTCCTTCCTCTTCCTCCTCCCTGCCCTCCCCCCCCCCGCCCAGGAGGCTGCCAGAGACGAGAGGGCCCTCGCCGAGCAGCGGTCGAGCGAGGCTTTCTGAGGGGGGGGGGGGGGCAGCTGGCTAGGCGCCAGGGGGCGCGCGCCGGGGCCAGGAGAGCACCAGCGAGCAGCACAGGGGTGTTCTTCCAGCCAGGGCGTCGCGGCTCGAGGCTGCCATCCTCCTCCTCCTCCTCCCCCTCCTCCTCTCCTCCTCCCTCCCCTCCTCCTCCTCCTCCTCCTCCTCCTCCTCCCCCTCCTCCTCTTGCTCCTCCTCCTCCTCCTCCTCCTCCTCCTCCTCCTCCTCCTCCCTAAGTTTTTGCTTGCCTTCCAGTATCTGCGTCTCGCCGAGGGCGCTCCCCGGGGTGGCCGAGTCGCCCCGAACGGCCGCCAGGGACCCGAATCATCTACCCGCACGCCAGACGACGAGGATCTCTCGGGTCAGACGAGAGGGGGGAAATGGTAAAGATGGGCTCGCGACACCTGCTGCGTACGGCTGGTTTCGGCCCCGCCACTGGGCACACTCCTCAACACACTGTCGCTCCCCGCGCCAGGGGGCGACTGAAAATCAGCTGCATGCCGCCGATATTCTAATCTCATCTTTTCGTCCGACACGGGGTTGTGGAGGTCCCCTCTCGATGCTCGAGGCTTTTGAGGTTCTAGGACTGAGTGCGGATCGAGGCTCGAGATTCGAGGATGGTCGAGCTCGAGGTTCGTGGCTCGAGGACGGGCGTCGAGGTTCGAGGCTCGATCATGGGTCTTCCGAGCGTGTTTGGCCCATCGGGGTCTGCAGTGGCTCTCAGTTTGCTGTTCTTACGCCGAGTGCAGGTTGCTGTCGAGTCCGCAGCCGTTTCGGCTCAAGGCTCTGTGGCCGGAAAGCGAGCGCTCCTCGTCTGACCCCTTCGGCCGCAGCAGGAATGGCCCGCCGCACGAGCAGCCTGCTGCTGCCGCTGGCGCTCGTGGCAGCCCTCCTCCGCCTTCCCCTCCCCCTCCTCCCTCCTCCCTCCTCCCTCCTCCCTCCTCCTCGTCCTCCTCCTCGTCCTCCTCCTCCTTCTCCTCCTCGCCGTCGTTCTCCTCCTCATCCTCCTCCTTCTCCTCCTCCTTCTCCTCCTCCTCTCATCCCTGCCTCTCTCCCTGCCTCCCTCCTTCCCTCCCTCCCTCCCTCCCTCCCTCCCTCCCTCCCTCCCTCCCTCCCTCCGTCCTCCCCCTCGTCCGAGCCTCCGTCGCTCACGGATGCCTGGCTTCCCTGCCAGGCCTCCCCCCCAACGGCACACCCTCCGAGGCGTGCCCGATCGCACGCTCCTCCTCCTCACTCGTGCGCTGCGGCTCACTGTGCGCTGGGGCGCGGCGCCCGGCGCTGCGGCCCACGACGGCGCCTGCCGCCGGGGCGGCCGCCGCGGTGCCCGTGGCCGCGGCGGCCTGGCGGCAGGCAGGCCCGGAGCCGCGCCGCGGGGCCGCGCCGCGGAGCGGCGCGGCGAGCCGCGGCGGGGGGCCGCCCGCCGCCCAGCGCAGGCGCCGCGCCCGGCGCGAGGGGGGCGGCAGGCCGCGGGCCACGGGCGGCGGGGCACCCGCTGGGGGTGCGCGCGCGGCCTCGCGCGCGAGCTCGGCGGCGCCTCGGCAGAGCCCGCAGCGGGCCGTGTGCCACCCCCAGCGCGGGGTCCTTCGGCCGCGATGCGCGGGCGACTCGTGTGCGCCGTGCCGCGTGGGATGTCCCCCGAGGCGGCGTCGATGCTCGACGCAGGGGTGGGGCGGTGCCTCGCTGCTGCGGCCCTCGCGCCGAGAAGCGGAACCTCACCAGCCTCGAACTTGTCCCTATCCTTGAGATTGACACGCCAAAATGCGATGACAATCTTAGGGATGCACCCTCAGAAACTGAGGGAATCCCTAAGATCGCCATCGTGATGAGGCGATGCCGAACATAGGGATAAGGATATGTTCCAGGCTGGTAAGCACCGCGCTCGAGCGGGGCCTGCTCGGAGTCCAAGCCTGGTACTGTGCACGAGCGCCGTTCTCAATCTCGAGGCTTTGCTGCGCCCAGGGCAGAGCCCGCGGCGTGGCGGACGGGGCCCATCGGCAGCGTCACCGCGCCTCGGCAGAGGGCGCAGCGCGGCGGGCCACCTGGCGCGGGGTCCACCGCTGGGGATCACCGCGCTGCTCGTCAACGGCAGCTCGGGGGTCCCCAAACGGGGCGGTGACCACACCGTGCGGTGAGTCGGTTGGGATTCGGGGTCACCGCACGGTTTTGGGACTCGAGTCCCTGTCCGAGGACGTCTCAGGCGACAGGGGCCTCTGGGGTCCCAAAACCGTGCGGTGACGGACCGTGCGGTGAGGTCTGGGGGATCTCGAGGTCACCGCACGGTCCGTCGCCGCACCGCTTCGGGACTCCGAAAAAGCAGCGCGGGCCACGGCGGTCCGCCGAGGGCGGTGCCCCCGTGATCTGGCTCCAGCAGCGTCAGCAGGAGCAGGGCGTCCGGACGGCCATGTGCCGCCGACGAGGCCTCGGGCCTGCGGCGCCTGCGAGCCCGTGCGCGCGCGCGCCCGGCGGATGTCGCACCCTCTGCACGGTCGAGGCTTGGGCAGCGCGCGGCCCCAGGCTTCGAGGCCTCGGCCCCCCCCCGCCCCCCGTGCGGGGCGGGGCCGCGGGGCGCCGGGCTTTTTGCCCCGTGGCGCACGCGTTCCTCGGTGGCGGCCGCCCGCTCCTCCTGCCCCAAACCTCTCCCTCTGCCTCCGCCCTCCAGTGTTGCTTGTCCTCCTCCTCCTCCTCCTCCTCCTCCTCCTCCTCCTCCTCCTCCTCCTCCTGCCATCCCCTCCATCTACGACGGCCGATCCCCGCCTTCCCCTCCTTCTCCCCCATCTTCTCCTCCTCCTCCTCCTCCTCCTCCTCCTCCTCCTCCTCCTCATCATCATCATCCTCTTCCTGCTCCTCCTCCTCCTCTTCCTCCTCCTCATCCTCCTCCTCTTCTCGCCCCCAGCCCTCCACCCTTTACTAAGTTAGTTGTCAGTACTACTATTCGCCTTCTGTCTCCCTGTCTCCTCCTCCTCATCCTCCTCCTTTTGCACCTTTTCCTCCCTTTCTCATTACTCCTTAGTCCGCTATATTGGCTCCCCCCTGGTGGTCCTCTCTTTCTTCCCCACGTCCCATTCCTCCTCCCCTTTCCTCCATGGTCGTCCTCCCTCTCCTTCTCCTTGTTTCCCCACCCTTCCTCACCCCTCATTCTCCTTGTCGCCTCGCGAGTAGATTCCCTCTCCCCTTATTTTCCCTCTTCATCCCCCTTTCGCCTTCTCATCCTTCTCCCTTTTCCTCCTCTCCTCCTCTTCCCCCTCCTGCTCCTCCCTCCCTCCTTCTCCTCCTGTCCTCCTCCTCCTCCCCCTCCTCCTCCTTCCTCTTCCTTCTCCTCTTCCTCCCCTCCTCCCTCCTCTCCTCCTCCTCCTCCTCTCCTCCTCCTCCTCCTCCTCCTCCCCCTCCTCCCCTCCTCCTCCTCCTCCGCCTCCTCCTCCTCCCCCTCCCTCCTCCCCCCTCCTCCTCTCCTCCTCCTCCTCCTCCTCCTCCTCCTCCTCCTCCTCCTCCTCCTCCTCCTCCTCCTCCTCTTGCTCTTCCTCTTGGTCCTCCTCTCCTTTGTCATGCTTCCCCCACCTCCCCTGAACCTTTGAGGATCCACCGTCCTGAACCAACCTTGGGACCCCCTCTGGGCGCCACACGCATCTGCTGTCTGAGCCCTGCCTGGCCGTGGCGGCGATCCTCTCTCCCGACGCCGCCGCCGCCGCTGCCGCCGACCTCGCCGCCGGCGACGGCGACGCCGCCGCCGCCGACGCCGACGACGAGCCGGCGGCCGCCGCCGCCGCCGCCGCTGCCGCCGCCGCTGCCGCCGCCCCAACGACGACGCCGACGCCTACGACGCCGACGACTACGCGTCGGGCAGTGCCAGGGCAAGGAATTAATCGCTCCAGAGCGCTCCGGAACACTGTCGGATGGCTCCGGAGTGCTCTGGAACGGCCGCGGCGCCAGATGCATCAGAACCGCCTGATTTCAGAGATCCCCGATTTGTCCCTGTGCAGGCCAGGCTCTGAGCCGATGCGATCCGCTTCCGATGCGACCCTGTCGGTGCCGGTTCCGGTTCCTGCTCCCGAGTTCGGCTCTCCGTTTCCGACTCTGGTCCGATGTTGGATGATGCCGATTCTGGTTCTGGTCCTGCTCTTGATGGGCCTGCCTTCCACCACCACCACCATAAGTCGGAGGGGGGAAGGAGATGGAGGACGAGGAGGAGGAGGACGAGGAGGAGGAGGAGGCCCTCTCCCCCTCCAACTTATGGTAGCGGTGGTGGACAACTGGCCCATCATGCTCTTCCGACTCCGCTCGCTTCTGGCTCTGCTTCCGGTGCTGTCGAGACGAGGCCAGGGCCGGGGCAGCATCATGCCGTCTCGGGCCTGCTGGGCCGCGCCGCGCCGACCCAGGGAATCCCGCGCGGGCCTCCGAGAGCCATCGGAGGCCCCCAAACGGTGATGGGCGTGGTGGTCCACCACCACCGCCACCATTCCTCGTCCTCCACTCGGGGACCACGTGCGAACCCTACCCCTACCCCCCACGATTTCTGAGGGGGAGGGTTCGCACGTCGCCCGCTATCCACTTCCTTCCCCCTCCAACTCATGGTGGTGGCTGTGGAAAACAGGCCCATCAAACGGTGTGGCGACCACGCCCCGCAGTGAGTCTGTGGGGCTTCGGGGTCACCGCGCGGCCGCAGGGCCCGAGCCGTTGCTCGAGGCCGCCTCGAGCGACCGGGGCCTCCGATGTCCCAGCACCGCTTCGCCTCCCCTCGGCTCCGACGCTGCGAAAGAGCTGCGACATGGCAGAGGAATCACGACGGGGGAGGAGGAGGAGGAGGGGGAGGAGGAGGAGGAGGAGGAGGAGGAGGAGGAGGAGGAGGAGGCGGAGGGAGGAGGCGGAGGAGGAGGAGGAGGAGGAGGAGGGGGAGGAGGAGGAGAAGGAGGAGGGGGAGGAGGAGGAGGAGGAGGAGGAGGAGGAGGAGAGGAGGAGGAGGAGGGGGGAGGGGAGGAGGAGGAGAGGAGGGAGGAGGAGGAGAGGAGGGAGGAGGAGGGAGGAGAGAGGAGGATGAGAGGAGGAGGAGGAGAGGAGGAGGAGGAGGAGGAGGAGGAGGAGGAGGAGGAGGATGGGATGGAGGAGGAGGAGGAGGAGGAGGAGGAGGAGGAGGGGGAGGAGGACCACCGGAGCCCCCGACTCGACCCCATCGCTCTGCGCCACGTCTCGAGCCGGAGCGGTGTGCGAGGGCCCCCGGGCCCGAAACGGGGCGAAGACGCCCGTCGTGACAGCAATCGCAGCGCCCCGCTCGGGGGGCTGGGCGGACCTTCGGCGAAAAGCCTGAGGACCCCAGGGCAGCGAGAAGTCTTATCGGGCCGGGCGAAAGGGGGGGATTGGGAAAGGGGGGGTTACGAAATTAGCTACATGCAGCTGGTTTCGGCCCCACCGAGGGGCCCATTCCTCGATACATGGCCGCCTCCGGCGCCGGGAGGCGCCGGGAAAATCAGCTACGCGAGCTGATTCTCAAACCCCCCCTTTGCTATCCCCCCCTTTCGCCCGACCCGATCTGGGGGCTGGGCGGACCTTCGGCGAGAAGCCTGAGGACCCCAGGGCAGCGAAAAGTCTTAGGATCCTCGGTGACAAAAGTTGCAGCGCCAAGATCTCATGTCGGGCGGGTCTAGGACGAGGATACGTCCGCTCAGAGCGTTCCGGAACGCTCTGAGAAGGCCGCGGCGCCCGAGGCATCCTCCAGATCCGCCAGATCCCAGAGATTCTCGATGTATCGCCATCACCCGACTTTATCCTCGTCCTGTCTTCGTCTTAGCTCGGGGATCGCACCTGTAGCCTATTTGTGCAAGACTCCGGCCAGTTTACTTGCATGGACGGGGAGGGGATGCTGAAACCGAAGCAGGCCGCAGGCGATTCGCCCTTGCGGCAATCGCGCACGTCGAGAGGCACCTGCAGAAATGGCAGGAACTCGTAGGCACTCGTTCGAATTGGGCGACCTGGGGGGGGAGCCGGACACCCATGCAGTAATGGAGGATGACGATTAATAAATGACCGGGGGTCGTGTTCACGCGGCGGCGCCCGGGATGACGATTAGAAAAAACCGGCCGCGGGCTGGAAAAAAATATTACCTAACAGCGAAGACTGATAGGTTTCTAGTGGGGTCAAAGAGAGCATCGGGGGTCTGGGCAGATGCCGGACGGGTGCCCCGGGAATCCGGGGATTTTTTCAGCCAACAGTAACGCACTTCGTGGTCTTCGAGTTCCCAGAACTCCATTCCTGGGCATGATTTTGAATGCCCGGAGTCAACTGTAGGCCACTTCGTGTTCTTCGAGTTCCCAGAACTCCGTTCCTGGGCATGATTTTGAATGCCCGGAGCCAACTGCACTTCGTGGTCTTCGAGTTCCCAGAACTCCATTCCTGGGCATAATTTTGAATGCCCGGAGACAACTGTAGGCCACTGCGTGGTCTTCGAGTTCCCAGAACTCCATTCCTTGGCATGATTTGGAATGCCCGGAGCCAACTGTAGGCCACTTCGTGGTCTTCGAGTTCCCAGAACTCCAATCCCGGGCCACATTTTGAATGCTGAGGCAGGCTGAGGCTGAGGCTGAGGCAGGCTGAGGCTGAGGCAGGCTGAGGCTGAGGCCGAGGCTGAAGGCAGATTGAGGCTGACGCTGAAGCAGGCTGAGGCTGAGGCTGAGGCAGGCTGAGGCTGAGGCTGAGGCAGGCTGATGCTGAGGCAGGCTGAGGCTGAGG